CCCCAAAACCCCAAAACCCCAAAACCCCTTGTTTGGAATAAGTTATTGAATTATTCTAACTAACTTGATCAGCAAATCTGACATTCTTAGTAACCGAATTCATTGGTGATTTAGGATCTCTCAGGTTAGACTTCATCCCACCAGGGCTTTTGTCAGAAGATTGACCACCGAAGAAGGCAAGGTTCTTGGAAATCTCTTGTAGTTTCGCATTATGATCTAGAATTTAAGAAGAAACTTACGGTTCATATTATTGTTGTTTTTCTCTAAAAGCTTTTTAATACCTTTGAATTGCTCACTTTCTTCATCCTCAGGTGATGCTCTGCTTTTGATAATTTGGTAAGCAATAATGATCATGATGATTACCGTAAACACCAAACCTTTATTTCCAAGGTAAGTTATGTACCAGGGTTCTTCGAAATATTTTGAATAAATGATGTCAATAAGGATTAGCTTGTTTTTATTCTCAGAGATACTGATCATCAATTGATTCCTACTATTCACTATCTCTTCTCTGATATTCATCTTTCTCATTGTGATTCCTTCAATGTTAGAGGATTTTGTATTATAGTTAGTTATATTAAAAACTTGCATCAAATCTGAATTGGTTGAATAAGTCACAATTGTATTTGATAGAGCAAGCAATTTAGAGTTTTGTTCTGTGCTTAAAATTCTACCAAATTCTTCACAAATAACATCTCTCCCAGATTTAGTCTTTGCTTGGATCATGATAATATCTCCTTGCTGTGTGAGTGCATAAAAGACACCAGGCTTGTCTTTGTCAAAGTCAAGGTCAACGATCTGAGTTGTGTTAAGAGTTCAGTTTGCATTTCCTTTTTCACCGTCAAAAGCTCTAATAAAACCAATTTTGTTTTGTTCAGTAAATAAGGTCAGATACATCTGTTGCTTTACTATTTCCACATTTCCAAATCCTGAATGAACTCTTTTGAAGAACGATACTTGGTGGGAAGAGCCTGACTCTGAATTCTGAGAAGAAATCCTTCGGAAGAGATTGAAATATCCTTGCTCGTCTACAAAAACAAAGATTCCTTGGTCTCTATTAGGAAAGTACGTCAGCTTAGTTATAGAGATTTGCTCCCCTGCTTTAAGAATTTCTTCTTCATAAAGAGTTGAATTAGATTGTTTTAGCTCTTGCCATGCGTTGAAATATTTAAAATTGCTGACGCCTAATTCTCTAATCGACCTCTTGACCTCTTTTTCACTGTTATCATTACTTTTAACCTACAGATCAGCTAGTGGGACTTACTGGTTGAATACTTAAGTCAATTATGTAAGTATTCCCTGAACTATCCGAGAAAATAACTGACATGTAGGATTCGTATGAGCTTGTTAAAAAGTTCTGAACTTCTGTTTCCCAACTCTGAGGAATTGGAACACTTGGATCTTGGCTTAATATGGAAGTTAGGTTATAAGAGTTCACAACTACACCACTATTTAACGAAAATATTGCTAGATTTCCATCATTTAAAAGCCCAATTAAAACTTTTTCTGTGTAATCTCTGAATAAGTCTACATATGCAGGAGTATCCAAGAAAGCATATTTCACGAAAGAAGTATTCTGCAGTTCGAATATATTCTTTTCGACAAATGAATTAGATACAGACAGTTCTTCATGGGTCAGTTTCTCTTTGAAGAGATTTTCATAATTATAGTCTTCCTCTATATCTACTGTGCCTTCGTTAGCATTAATTTCAGAATTTAGAGCATTTTCTTTATTCAAACTTTGAACTGAATGAAGAGACACTTTCGTCTTCTGGATTTTCTGTAAAAGCTGTAGCTTCCGAATACTTTTCCCAATATTTTCTTCAATTTGTAAGAGCTCATCATAAAGAGAGCCAATTTCATGAGCTACCAGTGTTCCGGCTTCAATTTCTGAAGATTCTTTTGTATCAGGCTTGCTCTCAGCGCAATTAACACAATTTAAGAAAAAGCATATAATCAAGAGAAGCGATATTAAAGAGAACTGAAGAGTCTTGGCAAGCTTATTCCCTTTGGAGATATTCCTAACTCTTGGGTGCACTTCATTCAGATATTCTTTCTGCTGCAATGTAGACATATTGATTCAAATCTATTTCAATAAATTTATATATAGTTGGGGTTTTGGGGTTTTGGGGTTTTGGGGTTTTGGGG